TTGGAATCTACGCGAAAAATCGAGTTGGGTGTATATTTTGATAATTTTTTGTGACCGGAAAAAAAGTTCGCCGGCGACCGACGGCAGTCCGCGGTGGCGGCGGCGGCGGCGGCTGACATGGCCACCAGCTGCGAGGAGCTTCAGCTCGCCTGGGAAGAAGAAGAGAAGAAACGATTGGGGAAGGAAGAAAAGAAAGAAAGAAGAAAAAAAGAAATGAAATTGGGCTAATGTTTTTTTTTCTGATGGGCCAAGAGTTATTTTGTTAGGTTTTGGGGATGGGCTTTAGTTTATTTTTTCTTTTGGGTTTCTGTTGGGCTAGAAGGTCAGAGCTCATGCATTGTTTTTGTTGGGCTTGAGTGATAAAAAGATGGGCTAGCCTGCTCGTTTGGCTTGGACTTTCAGCTGGGCTTAGGCAGTGTTCGGCCCAAAGAAATAAAATGATGGCCCGATGGCCTTTCCTTGCCCAAATCAGAAATCGAAATTTGCACTTTAGCCCTTGATCTTTGGAGTAGTTTCACTTCAGCCCAGAACATTTTAATTTTGTTTCATCTAGGTCCTTAAGTTAATTTCACTTCGGTCCCCCTAAATTTTATCTTTCATTTAATTTTGATCCCTGAACTTTGGAAAAAATAATTTCTGTCCCCAGAAATTTTTTAATTTTTGCAATTCAGTCCCTGATGCATTTTGACTCTCTTTATTATGATTGTTTCTTTTCTTTAATAGCTAATTATGCTACTTTTGAATATACTTAACTTGTAATTTTTAGATGTTCTTAAATTTCTTTACGTTTGACATATTAGTGTGAATTTAGTATTTTTGTTATTATTATTTTTCAATTAAATTGGTGCCGTGATTCTTTTGTTCATTTTGAGTATAAATAGGGCAATTTGACTCCGTTTAGTCACCACTTCAAAAGGGAGGTACCTCATTATTATTATTTCAATGTCAATTACGTGCTCTTATGTGCTCTTACGTGCTCCTATATGTTTATATATTTTTATATGCTTTGTTTATTTGATTTGAATGTTCATTTAAATTTTCTTATACTTGTTTAGTTAATTTTATAATTATTTGAGAGGCATTTAAATACCTCAAAAATGTAATAGATAGGATAATTAGATTTGTTTTATTTTATTTCCCCTTTTAGATTGTAGTTAGGCGCTCCCCGATGTAATAGATAGGTTGTGTGCTTATGTGGCTTATGTGTTACGTGCCTTACTTGCTTTCCTTAGGATTTTTGCATCTAGATATTATGCTTATGTGTTACGTGCTACGTGCTCTTATGTGTTTATTTGTTTTAATTTATGTCTACTTGTCTTATTATGTATTAAAAATGCATGACGTCACCACACTAGTCCAACGCTAGTTGTGGTTTCTCCCTCCGTTTACTTGCTAGTCCAACGCTAGTAAGGATTTTTAGAAATGGGTTAGTCCAACGCTAGACCCTTAGATCGTTCGTGCGTTAGATTCATTTTTGTGTGATATTTATTACATTTTCACGCATATTTTCATTTTTAGGATCTTTTCCCATTTGCATGATATTTCCTATTATATTATCCCCTATCCTCTATATGTGTTAATCATGTCATTTAGAATTGCATTTCATTTAGGACATTGTATAGTAAGTTAGCTCATTTGTTTGTGCATATTAGGAGAATTATTTTTCAAATATGGGAAATGGGTGATTATAACTTTTTAGTTTAAATACCCCATTAATCCCTGTATAAGAAAATTATGTCACGAGTTTTTGTCTCCCGCACCATTTATGTTGCATTCCCTTTTTCTTTGATCACTTATATATATGTATATAATTTAATTTCTTTTCTTTTCTTTTAATTTCATCATTTGCATATTCGTGACACTTTCAAGGAATCATTTTGGGCTTCGCAATTAATGCGATTGGTTCAATTAAACCCCTTGAATGAACATTTTGTCCCTTTCGATATATTTAGATTTGCATCCATATAGGAAACATCCAAATATGATAAAATTAAGGGTTAGATTAGGAAAATTTTGACTAAACCTCGCAACTAGCTTAGACTAGGTTGAAAGGGTGCCTTAGGTTTGAGTCAATTAAACATTTGCCTTCCCTTTCTTCAACCGTGACTCCCGAACCTATTTTCTCTTGCTTTCAAAGACCTGGAGTTGTCAAAAAGGGTTTTGATTTATTTTATTTTTGTCAAAAAAAATATTTTTTTTGGGTGACTTGGTACACCAAAACTCCATACCAAGTGGCGACTCCTAATTTTTCTTCAAAACCCTTTTAGACTAAATTTTGGACCCAAATTGTCGCATTTTTTAAAGTCCCATTCTAGGTCCTTTTTCATTTATTATTAATAAATCACATCTTTTTATAAACTCTTTCTTTTTTTTCATCGCGAAAAATGGGGCGCGACAATTCTGAATAGTAGTACTTCGGTAAATATTTAAGTTCTTCACTTTTTTTTCCAAATATGTTCAATGGGAAGCTAAGAATTACATAATCTTGGAATTTAGGATTACGAAAAGTTTTTGCTTGTTCTTTTTTTCCGCCTTAATGTATTTACTTCATAAGCCTACATCATTGATTCCTCCTATTGATGATAGCAGAATAGTGTGATAAATCTTCATAATGTTTCTCAATATGTCTCTTATGTCACAATTAATCTCAAGCAGACTTTATTATCCATGGATGCAATCTTTCATTGTCAAACTTTCTACAGTCAAACTGAACTCTCAACAAATAATGGATATGATCACTAAGGTAAGAACTAGATTGTTCTCTAATTTAAGGTCACACAAAATCATCTTTGGCATTCCTATCAGAAACTCTACTGCAAAGAATAATCCAGAAAATTTTTTAAAGAACTCCAGAACACATATTTCTTTTTCCCAGTGATATGTATAAAGGGGATGTGTGTTTCAACTGTAAATGAAAAATTGTAGAACAAATGAGACAGACAAAAAGGCCATTATTGTTCATTCTCCTCTGCTACATTTAGACTCAGAATTTCATGAAAATGAACATATGTGAAGGGTACACTTTACCAGCCAATTTTGCATATTTCTTCTGGCAACCTAAAGGGCTAACTCCTCCTATTATTGCTCAAAAAATTAAAAATCAGAAGAATGTTATTTTCACATGGGTATGGTATGAAACTATGCTTGCCGGCTTAGTCAGCTTAACAGCAAAGAAAATTTTTTTTTTTTTTAAATGATGGGTGGCCGGACTTACAAAGAAATTTTTTTTTAAATGCTGAGCTATTGGGCTAACTTGCCAGACAACCAAGCTAGAAAATTTTTTTCCCATTTGTTTTGCAGTAGCCAAAAAGAAGGAGGAAGAGGAAACTCATGATGAATCAGCTCTTGACTTGGTGATCAAATTTGTAGCTGAATCAGTTAAGCAATTTCTAGTGGCCACAACATGGACAAAGGGCCTTTTCTTGCATGTTTCTTGGGTATACTAGGTTTTACACTCATGCTAGCTGACCTTTCTACTATTCAAGAAAAATAGTTTGACTTCAGGGAAAAAGAAATGAAAATTAGTTTGAATGTAATTTGTGTGTTTATGTGTGTGCTGTTTTTATTTTCTGTGTGGATTTTAATTGCATTTTTAACTGTGGTTTCAGCTCATTTTTAGCTGTGATCATTTGGTTACTGCAAAATAGCCAGATATATCCTCTATCTTAGCAATGGTTAGTATATATTACTTATAGTAGATTATTTCTTGAACTTTATTTAAGTGATATTAGTCTTAAAATTAGTAAGGATTTTGACTAATTGATGGTCAGCATATTTTTCTCTGTTGGGTAAATTTTTGAATTTTTATTTTTCAGTTACTTCTGTTATTTCAATCAATATGGATGGCTACATGGTGGCAGCGGATGTGGAAACTTCAGACAACAAGGACTAAGAAAAAGAGTTACCTTGCTAATTGGGAAAAAAGAGACCCCATTGAAGTAGATACCAGGCAAATAGCCAAGTTCCTTTGGTGGGTGCTCTTTTTTCATAATATGTTTGGACATAACAATTTCTGTGACTTATAATTGAAGATCTATATTGGGCTATGTGATTGTTTACTGGAGCAGATTTTCTTTGCTTGGAAAAGATTGTTTAGTTAGAGCTGTAGAATTTTGGCTAGGCAATTGACCTATTTCACTAATTTTAGCCCTCTACTAACTAGTACAGAATTAATGGTGTAACTATATTAGAGGATGATTTTGTTGTAAAGACATTTACTTGCATTTCTTCATCATATTAAAAAAAAAAAAGATTTTCAGCTTGGCTGCCTGACTGACTTAGCATTTAAAAAAAAAAAATTCTTTGTTGCCAAGCTGACTAAACCTAAAAAAAAACATTTTCCTTTGCTGCCGAGATGACTTAACCCTGCAAATATAGGACCTGTTTGGCAAGCAAGTTTTTGCCAAGTTTGTTTGCTACAAATTTTTTAATAACTTTAGTCACAGTAATCTCAAATTTTTTTTTTGTCAAAAGTCATTCATTTATATCATCAGATGTTTAACATCTACAAGTACATATACATTTTAGCTGGCAACTGCTAGATGATCACTTTGTGCAGCCATAGAGGTCCACACAGGGAAGATACTCTTCCACCTAGTTTCGTTAAAAAGGTTAGTGGCGAATTTCGCCAAACCATGACTACAAGTGTTGCATTCTCGCTTAACAAAAGAGAAAGTACAACGCCAAAAAGACCTACTCAATGTCCTGATATCTCTCAGGATAATGTTTATATCAGATAGGTCCTCACACCTATGATTCAATTTGTCAACAAGAACTTTGCAATCAGAAAGTATCAAGATGGACGTCCAATTTTCCTTCAATGCTTTGAGCAAGGCAGTTTTGATAGCATGAGCTTCCATGATTGCAGCCTCTCCTTTAACTGCGGTTGGGATTGACCATGTAGAGATTAGATTTCCTTCATTATCTTTAGCTGCTATACCAATGCCAAATTTATCTCTTCGCTGGTCCACTGCTGCATCAATGTACATGATAGTCGAGTGCTATTGTTGGAGTACAGCAACAATGTTGTCATTGCTATCAAGCTCAGCACTGATTTCTTGCTTGTCACATGTGTTTAGGAGGTTTGCCTCTTTAAACTCAAGCCAATCCACCATGGCATATTGGGAGATCTGATACCCTTCTTGGTTGCACAGGTTAAAGTTCCAATTATTTCTAGCCTTCCAGATATGCCAGAGTAGATTGGCTGTCATTTCAATGTGAGCTTTACCATCTGCCCTTTCTCTAGCTTGCTGCAGGCTCTCCCACCATAACCAAAAGCTCCCTTTCAAATGCTCTAGACCATCCCATTTGATAGGGAAGGTTTTCCAGATCTGCTCAGTTGTCCTGCAAAAGAAAAGGAGGTGTTCTAATGTTTCTGCACTTTCTCCACAGCCCCTGCACCAAGGTTCTCCTTTCCCTATTCGTCTGAATATATTTTCATGGGTGGGAAGGATGTCATGTAGGCATTTCCACAGGAAGTGTTTAATCTTGTGCTTAGTGTTGAGGTCCCAAACTTGATGCCAAATTCTGGAATTCTGCTTATTCCTGCTGGTGCTATCCTGTTGCAGAGACCTGTTGTTGTTCCTTTCGATCTTTTCCTTGGCTTTTACATATCCAGTTTTGGTAGTGTATTCACCATTGGCACTGCTGCACCAAGTGTCCCTGTCCTTCCCTCCAAATAAGCTCAGTGGGATTGTTGTGATTATTTTGGTCTCTTCAGGAGAGAAAAAGGAGTTTATGATGCCCGAGTTCCACTTATGGTCATGAATCAATTCTGAGACTTTGTCAATTGGACAGTTGTGTGGCTTTGGTGTGGAGATTTTACCTGAGCTAGTTTTGAGCCAACCATCCTTCAAGATTGCAATAGTGGTGCCATCCCCAACCTGCTTCCTTAGTCCACTTTCCAACATCCCAGTTGAACTATGCAGACTTTGCTAGATCCATGAAGCTCCACTTTTGATCTGTGCATCAAGAATAGAGGATTTGGGAAAGTACCTTCCTTTTACCACCTTACTAACCAACAAGTTTGGATTAGTGAGCATTCTCCAAACTTGTTTGGCTAGTAAGGCGGTGTTAAAGCATTTAACGTCCCGGAACCCAAGTCCTCCTTTCCCTTTGACATCAGAAATACCAGCCCAACTCTTCTAATGCATTTTCTTTTCTCCAGAATCACTTCCCCACCAGAATTTAGCCATCATTCTGCACAGCTCTTTGCATAGTCCAGCAGGTAATTTGAAGATGGACATTGCATATGAAGGGAGAGCAAGGGCCACAGATTTGAGTAATACCTCTTTGCCTGCAGAACTTAGCATTTTACCTTTCCAATTTTGCAGTTTTTTGCACATCTTCTCTTTGATAAACCTGAGGACACTGTTCTTTGATCTGCCTATCACCATAGGCAAGCCCAGGTATTTGCTTTGAGTGACAAGTTGGATGTTGCCAAGTGGTCTTAGGACAGCTTCTGCTTCTGTGTGTGAAATATTTTTGCTAAGAAACACCGATGATTTCTCAATGTTTATTTGCTGCCCCGAGGCCCTTTCATAGCACTTGAGAATTCGCATTATCTCTTCAGCTTCACCAATATTAGCTTTACAGAACATAAGAGAGTCGTCAGCAAAAAAGAGATGAGAGATTGTAGGACTTTGTCTGGATATTTTGATCCTAGAAATTCTGTTATCCTCAGTGGCTTGCTTAAGGATATGAGAGAGAGCTTCTGCACAAAAAAGGAAAAGATAGGGAGATAGAGGGTCTCCCTGTCTAATTCCCCTGGTGCGACACACATAACCTTGTTTTTCCCCATTAATGTTGAAACTGAAAGACATGGATGATAAACAGCCATGAATCCATTTAATTGACGTTGGACAGAATCCCATTTTACTCATGACAGCAAACAAAAACTTCCACTCAACCCTATCGTAAGCTTTGAACATATCAATCTTAAGAGCCATATACGCATCTTTACCTCCCCTCTTATTGTTAAGCCAGTGAATGTACTCATGTGCAATAATGATGTTGTCTATAATTTGTCTTCCCGGGACAAAAGCCGCCTGAGAATGACTGATACAACCACCTAACAAGGGCTTGAGTCTATTAACTAGGATTTTAGCAATGACTTTGTAGACAACATTACAAAGACTAATGGGCCTGTAGTGGGAAAGATTGATAGGAGTATCAATTTTGGGGATAAGGGTGATCAATGTCTCATTAAAGGCTTTCAACATGCGCCCCGTATTGACAAAGTTTTGAATTGACTCCACTAAATCACTATGAATAATAGTCCAAAATCTTTGAAAAAAGATGGGTGACATACCGTCGGGTCTTGGTGCCTTATTAGGATGCATGGAAAAAAGTGTTGCTTTAACTTCTTATTCTGTGACAGGTTTGGTAAGCTGCAAGCTCATCTCAGCTGTAATTGTCCTAGGGATGCCATTCATAATTTCCTCAAAGTCATCAAGCTGTGAGCATGTGAACAGTTTACGGTAGTACTTAGACACTTCCTTCCCAATTTCTACATCGTTTTCAAACCATCCACCTTGAGCTTTTTGAATTTTAGATATTCTGTTCCTTTTTCTCCTGGTGGCCACGCATGCATGAAAATAAGATGAATTCTGATCCCCTTCCTTAAGCCATTTGATTCTTGATTTTTGGTGCCAGAATTGCTTCTCTTTTTTGTAGGCCTCAATAAGCCTCTTCTTGATTCCATTAGCCATAGTTGACTTATTACCACCATTGCCTTTCTGGATGTGCTCTAACTCCTCCTTCAATTTCTTGATCTCCTTCTTACTATTGCTATTAATCCCCTTGTTCCATCTAGTGAGAGCAATTCTACATTCTTTCACCTTCTTAGCTACTTTAAACCCTTTGGAACCCTCTATCTGCTTATTCCAAGCATTTCTCACAATTCCTTCCACCTCACAATACTGGAGCCATCGTGCATCAAAGTGAAACCTCCTCCTTGTCTTTTTATGTTCCGGATTTGAGTCTAAGAGTACCATACTATGGTCGGAAGCTTGGTTCTCTATATGCACTACCTTAGTTGCCGGGTATGCATTGACCCATGCACCACTTCCTAAAGCCCTATCTAGTTTTTCCTTAATTGATCTTTCATTGTCCCATGAATTGTTCCATGTCCAAGGGAGACCTTCATATCCCAGATCAACATACTCATTACTGTTGATAAACTCCCTAAAGTCCTTGAAGGACCAATTACTCCTAATCCTTCCACCCCATTTCTCATTGTTAGAAATGATGTCATTGAAGTCACCAATAATGACTACATTCTTTCCCCATATCTGTCTTCTATGGTTCAAGAAATCCCACTGCACTCTCCTCACTTGGTCATCTGTACTTGCATACAAGCATACACACCACCATACATCATTTTCATTACTTGCCAGTATCTTAGCTTCAATGGTGATATGAGTGAACAGAATTTTTTCTATCTTCAACTCGTTTTTCCACATAATTGCTAGTCCTCCTACCTTTCCAACGGGATTCACAAAAAATAACCTGTCATACCTAATATTTTTTTTGAATTTTTCCATAAAATTGTTTTTATTCTTAGTTTCACAGAGAAAAACTAAATCAGGGGAGTGAAGGCCAATTACCTCTTTCAGATAGGGAATAACCAAGGGACTCCCTGCTCCTTGGCAATTCCACGCCAATACTCTCATATGGTACTTGGAGACCATTTGAGGTTGGCCTCCACCACCTGTGAGTCTTGGTTCTCTGAAGTGCCTGCTGAAGTTCTGTATTTTTTCCCAGGTTGCTCATCCTCCAGCATGTAATCTCCATCCTCATCTCTGAGAGCAAATTTCCTCTTGCTTGTTTCCCCTGATGTATTGTTACCCATTTTAAGAGGGGTTCTGTTTTGCAGGATTCTACTCCCTCTTCTGGTGCATTTGGTTTCTTTTCTGTTTTGAATTTGCTTCTGGGTAGTAGAAGAGTTCCCTAGATATATCTGAAGGTTAGTTTTTGGTCCGTCCGGTATTGATTGGGTTTGAGCTAAAGTATCCTTGAGCTTCGTTCCACTACTTTGACCTGGGCCCTCACTTGTGTCCATACATTCCACCTCAGGGTGCTCCCCAGTCATTTGGTCCATCTCAGCATAAGTAGGGTCGCACTGGCTCCTAATTGGGTCAGTATCATTTGTGGCTGGTATGGTAATCATAGGTATAAAGTGCTCTTTATTTCCCTGGTCTTCTGCTACAGTATGATTTTTGAGAGCGCGGGAATCTTCCCTCCTTTTTGCAATCTGACTTTCTGTCCCATCATTCCCTTGGGCTGTGTTTGGTTGCTCTCCATCTTCCTGGGATTTGTTTCCGGGGATTTTGACAGTGTTCACAATGTACTCTCCTTCAAACAGTAATCGATTAGCTATCGGATTCAGCTTCTCGTTCTGGCTCTTGACATTGTCTTCTCTGGTAGTCGTGGGCTTATTAAGGGGTGATTTGCTGTTTTGAGCTCTCATCCAAGCCCCATACTGTGGTTTATTGTTTTTGTTCAGCCTATCTTTGTTGTTGCAATTTCTATCACTATGTCCGATGATGCCACATTTATAGCAAAAATCCAGACACCGCTCATAACGGAACTCTATCCATCTTGAGTTACCATTCATCTTTGCCATAGTCCCTCAAAGTAGAGACCTGCTTATGTCTACCCAGACCTTTAGCTTTAGATGTCTTCCCTCCTTACTACCACCTGCTGGGATTATCACCTCCTCCACTGGTCCGATACCTGCGCCTAGCTTCCTACCAATTTCCTTCGTTAGCCAATGCACTGGAAGATTCCATAACTGCACCCACAGTGGAGATGTTGAGAATGCTTTTGGATTGCCTTCATGTCCTCTTCCCACTCTTTTATGTTCAGCAATTGATTGTCAATAACATATGGTCTACCATTGAGGATTTTTGTAATACACTATTGATCAGTAAAGGAGAACTGATACAGGTTTACGCCAATCTCAACAGCCACCATATCCTTAGGATACCCCCACATGTGGTTAAAAAAGCTTTTAATTCCTGTGAAATTGGTTACTTTGTCCCCCATTACCTTACCAAAAAGGCTCATTTTGCATTCCTCTCCTTCTTCACTCAAATCAACTTCCTCACCGTCGCGCCCCACTTTTTGATCGTGTGAATGTGTGATGTGTGTGCGAAGTGTGGTGTGAACGTGTGCAACATGAAAAGTAAAAGGCCATGGGACTTTGGAAAGCGACGATTTGGCCAAACGAAATTTTAAAAAGGGTTTTTTAAATATGAAAACGGAGTCGCCACTTGGTATAGATTTGGGGTGTACCAAGTCACCCAAAAAGTGTTTTTTAAAGACAAAGTAGTAAAACCCTTTTTAAAACGACTCCTAGTCCACGTAAGCCAAAGAAAAAGGTTCGGGGGTCACGTTTGACAAAGAGGAAGGCAAGGATAGAATCCAAGGCACCCCTTTGACCTAGCCAAGGCTAGTTGCGCGACTTAACCTTACCTTTCCTAATTTTCTACCCAATATATGTTCGCACGTTGGATATGACTATATGAATGCAAAACGGAAAGAAAAATGCAATCCTAAATTCTACGATGTCTCTCGTGAGGCTTTTGGTCCCAAACCACATGAATTGTGGCGGCCAACAAAGGAAAACCCCATAGAGGTCGATTAATGCAAATGAGACTCAAATGTGCAAGTGTGGAAGTGTATGAAAGAAATTAAAAATCCAAGTGTTTGTGTGCAAGTGTATGAAAAGGTGCACGTGTGCAATTGTACGAAAATTCCAAGTGTTTGTGTGCAAGTGTATGAAATATAGTGATAAGTGCATATAGGTGTAATTAGGTGCAATTTTGTGAAGTAGAAATCAAAATGAACAATAAGGAAAGGAAAATGTGAATTGAAAAGAATGAGTGAGTGATAAATGAGAATGAAT